TTGGCGGCCATTTTGGCCTTCCACCAGCTGGACACAGACTGGCTAACCTTGTGAGGAGGGCTTTAAACTAGGTTTGTTGGGGGCAGGTGAGCAAAGCCCACAGGTAAGTGCTGCATGTGCGGGACTGGGAGATGGGTTGGAAATGGGGGGGACTACGGCCTATAATGGCAAGGAGAAAGGAGGGTCAGGGCACAACAGGGAGGCAAGATCAAATCAGTATCTTAGATGCCTATATACAAATGCGAGAAGTATGGGTAATAAGCAGGAAGAACTGGAATTGCTAACCAATAAATACAACTATGATATCATTGGTATTACAGAAACCTGGTGGGATGGGACACATGATTGGAATGTTGGTATGGAAGGGTACGGCTTGCTCAGGAAGGACGGCTGAGTTTGGAAGCAGAGAGAGCAGGGGACACTGCCCCCCTAGTCTTTTAAAAGAAGAATGAACAGTTCTTCCCTGTTCATGTTTTTGTTTCTTCAACAGGGAAGAGTGGGCAGGTCTAAGACAAACATGCTGAGCACATTCTGTCAGGAAGGACAGACAGGGAAAAAAGGGAGGAGGGGTTGCCTTGTATATTAAAAATGTACACACTTGGACTGAAGTGGAGATGAACGTAGGAGATAGCTGTGTAGAGAGTCTCTGGGTTAAGCTAAAAGGGGTAAAAAACGAGGGTGATATCATGCTAGGAGTCTACTACAGGCCACCTAGCCAGGTGGAAGAGGTGGATGAGGCCTTTTTTAAACAATTAACAAAACTATCCAAAGCCCAAGATTTGGTGGTGATGGGGGACTTCAACTATCCAGACATATGTTGGGAAACTAACACAGCGAGGCACAGGCTATCCAATAAGTTTCTGGACTGCATTGGAGACAACTTTCTGTTTCAGAAGGTTGAAAAAGCTACCAGAGGAGAAGCTGTTCTGGATTTGGTTTTAACAAATAGGGAGGAACTAGTTGAGAACTTGAAAGTGGAAGACAGTATAGGGGACAGTGATCATGAAATAATAGAGTTCATGATCTTAAGGAAAGGTAGAAGGGAGACCAGCACAATTGAGGTTATGGATTTCAGGAAGGCAGATTTTGATAAGCTCAGAGAACTTGTAGGTAAGGTCCCATGGGAAGCAAGACTGAAGGGAAAAACAACTGAGGAGAGTTGGAAGTATTTCAAAGGGACGTTGTTAAGGGCCCAAAAGCAAACAATTCCGCTGTGTAGGAAAGATAGAAAATATGGCAAAAGACCAGCTTGGCTTAACAAGGAGATCTTGCATGATCTCAAAATAAAAAAGGAGTCATATAAAAAATGGAAACTAGGACAACTAACAAAGGATGAATATAGGCAAGCAACACGGGAATGCAGGGGCAAGATTAGAAAGGCAAAGGCACAAAATGAGATCAAACTAGCTACAGGCATAAAGGGAAACAAGAAGACCTTTTATAAATACATTAAAAGCAAGAGGAAGACCAAGGACAGGGTAGGCCCACTGCTTAGTGAGGAGGGAGAAGCAGTAACAGGGAACTTGGAAATGGCGGAGATGCTCAATGACTTCTTTGTTTCGGTCTTCACCGAGAAGTCTGGAGGTGTGCCTAACGTAGTGAATACAAGCAGAGAGAGGGTAAGTTTAGAAGATAGGATACACAAAGAACAAGTTAAAAATCACTTAGGAAAGTTAGATGTCAGCAAGTCACCAGGTCCTGATGAAATGCATCCCAGGATACTCAAGGAGCTGATAGAGGAGGTATCTGAGCCTTTAGCTATGATCTTTGAAAAATCATGGCAGACAGGGGAGATTCCAGAAGACTGGAAAAGGGCAAATATTGTGCCCATCTATAAAAAGGGGAATAAGAACAACCCAGGAAATTATAGACCGGTCAGTTTAACGTCTGTCCCAGGGAAGATAATGGAGCAGGTAATTAAGGAAATCATATGCAAACACTTGGAAGGTAATAAAGTGATAGGGAATAGCCAGCATGGGTTTGTGAAGAACAAGTCATGCCAAACTAATCTGATAGCTTTCTTTGATAGGATAACGAGCCTTGTGGATAAGGGAGAAGCGGTGGATGTCATATACCTAGACTTTAGTAAGGCATTTGATACGGTCTCGCATGATATTCTTATTGATAAACTAGGCAAATATAACTTAGATAGGGCCACGATAAGGTGGGTGCATAATTGGCTGGATAACCGTAGTCAGAGAGTTGTTGTTAACGGTTCTAAATCCTGCTGGAAAGGGATAACAAGTGGAGTTCCTCAAGGGTCTGTTTTGGGACCCGTACTGTTCAATATCTTCATCAATGATGTAGATATTGGGATAGAGAGTACTCTTATTAAGTTTGCAGATGATACCAAACTGGGTGGGGTTGCAACTTCTTTGGAGGATAGGGACATAATTCAAAATGACCTTAGCAAGTTAGAGAAATGGTCAGAGGTAAACAGGATGAGGTTTAATAAGGAGAAATGCAGAGTGCTCCACTTAGGAAGGAACAATCAGTTCCATACATACAAGATGGGAAGCGACTGTCTAGGAAGGAGCATGGCGGAAAGGGATCTAGGGGTCATAGTGGACCACAAGTTGAATATGAGTCAACAGTGTGATGCTGTTGCCAAAAAAGCAAATATGATTCTAGGTTGTATTAACAGGTGTGTTGTAAGCAAAACTCGTGAAGTCATTCTGCCGCTCTATTCTGCACTAGTTAGGCCTCAGCTGGAGTACTGTGTCCAGTTCTGGGCGCCACATTTCAAGAAAGATGTGGAGAAATTGGAAAGGGTACAGAGAAGAGTGACAAGAATGATTAAAGGTTTAGAGAACATGACCTATGAAGCCAGGCTTCGTGAACTGGGCTTGTTTAGTTTGGAAAAACGAAGATTAAGGGGGGACATGATAGTGGTTTTCAAATATCTAAAAGGGTGTCACAAGGAGGAAGGAGAAAATTTGTTTCTCTTGGTTTCTGAGGACAGGACAAGGAGTAATGGGCTTAAAGTGCAGCAGGGGAGGTTTAGATTGGACATTAGGAAAAAATTCCTAACTGTCAGGGTGGTCAAATATTGGAATAAATTGCCAAGGGAGGTGGTGGAATCTCCCTCTCTGGAGATATTTAAGAACAGGTTAGATAGACATCTGTCTGGGATGGTGTAGGTGGAGCTTGGTCCTGCCTTGAGGGCGGGGGGCTGGACTCGATGACCTCTCGAGGTCCCTTCCAGTCCTATGATTCTATGATTCTATGAAAAGGGGAAAACCCTGTTTGCTAACCCAGTGGTCAACAGGTTTCTGAAAGGGATGGTTAGTGTCTACCCGCACATCCACCAGCCTGCCCCCCAGTGGGGCCTAAATCTGGTCCTTTCCAAACTCTTGGGACCCCCGTTCGAACCATTAGTGACGTGTTCTCTTCTATACCTGTCTTATAAGGTGTCTCTTCTGGTGGCACTCACAACAGCCAGGAGAGTATCCAAACTCAGGGCGCTTACCTCGGATCCCCCCCACACGGTGTTTTTCAAAGACAAGGTTAGGCTCCGCCCCGACCCAGCTTTTCTGCCCAAGGCAGTGTCCTCTTTCCACACCTCCCAGGATATTTTCCTGCCAGTCTTTTACCCCAAGCCACATGCGTCTGGGAAAGAACAGGCTTTACACACTTTGGATGTGCGTAGAGCATTAGCCTTTTACTTAGACAGGACAAAACCATTCAGGAAGTCACCGCAACTCTTTGTGGCCATCGTGGAATGGGTGAAGGGCCATCCTGTGTCCTCCCAGTGGATCTTCTCCTGGATAACCGCTTGCATCAAGGAGTGCTATGCCCTGGCGGGGAGCCTGGCTGCACCCCTTAGAACACACTCCACGAGAGCCATGGCAGCCTCCCCCGCTTTCATGGTGCAGGTTCCCATCTTGGACATCTGCAGAGCCACTACATGATCCTCTGTCTGTACCTTTGCCAATCACTATGCACTAATGCATCAAGCCAGGGAAGATGCTGCCCTGGGCAGCGTGGTCCTCCACTCCTCTGTGGCTTCAACATCCGGTCCTCCTCCATAGGTTCTGCTTTGGAGTCACCTATATTGGAATGCACATGAGCAATCACTCGAAGAAGAAAGAACGGTTACTTACCTCGTAACTGTGATTCTTCGAGACGTGTTGCTCATGTCCATTCCAAATCCCTACCCGCTGCCCTCTCCGGAGTATTCTGGTAAGAAGGAACAGAGTGGGTGAGGGAGCCAGCAGCGGTATATATGGGCCGATATACCGGTGCCATTCCAGGGGGCTCCCTGCTGGCCCTAAGGGTACTGCTGAGGGAAAAGCTTCCGATGGGGCGTGCACACTGCGTGCACACACCTATATTGGAATGGACATGAGCAGCACACCTCAAAGAATCGCAGTTATGAGGTAAGTAACCGTTCTTTTATTCCTATTCTTTGTTTCCTATCTTTTAACCAGTTACCAGTCCATGAGAGGCTCTTCCCTCTGATCCCATGACAGCTTACTTTGCTTAAGAGCCTTTGATGAGGGACCTTGTCAAATGCTTTCTGAAAATCTAAGTAAACTATATATTGTGCCATCTCCTCAGGGCACAATTCAGTTCAGATCTGGACAAGAGGACGGAGGAACATTGGCACAGCTGCCTGGAAAAATTTGTCTATCCTCTGCCTGATTCCATCCAGTTATTCTCTCAGTATTCACTAGGTTCAATTCCAAAATTACCACATTACAAACTATAGGCCCATATAATGTCTTAATTTCCTATAGAAATCCTGTCTTGCATTAAACTGTGAACTTTATTTATATTTGAATCCTGTTCATGTATCTTTATCTTAAAATCATATTTAAAAGCCTTTCTCCATTTGCATCACTTGTAACTGGATACTTTAAATCCAGGAGCAGGTAAATCTTTTTATGAGAGCAGTTGGCTGTAGTAAGGGCCAGTTTATACCTTACTATATTCAACCTGTGCTGAAGACATGACAACATGTGGGAGGGAAATATTGTTTTATTATGTTTCCCACACAGGTGCCCAATCATTTCATCTGGCTGATCTTTTTTTATTGGTATTTTCACTCCTGCCTCAACTGCCTTGCGGAACTGCTCCGATTTGGTGACCGGCAATTTTATCTAGACTGGTGGTAAGATTTCTTTCACCTCTTATCCAAACAGATTGCTGTTAAATCAGACTGCTACGTGGCATGCTTAATGTCAAGGGGGGTGGGGTGGGAGGAGCTGTCAAATTAGTATTTCAAAACGGGAAATTGGCTGGCAAAGGTTCTACAAGTATCTAGCATGACTGAGTGGCATTCTATAACTGCTAGTCAATTAGCGTTGTTATGGAGCTGGGAAAAACAAGGTAAGGAATTTAAAATAAAAGTGTAGATTCCCTATTGCCCTGCACCTTATGCAATCATTTACACAATGAAAAAAGGGTGTTAAATGGTAAGTAGATTGACAGTGATTTACACTACACCTTGCATGCTTGTAAGTGATGGGCCAAGAATTTGCCTCATTATCTTTACAAATAGACTTTAACTTTTACCACTGCCTCTGGAGAAATAATCTTTGGATCTTTTTAAGCAAGGTGCACAAATCTAGGTGTTACCATATTTTGACTAATTCCTTGTGGAAGCAGAAAACAAGCCAGCAGCTGCATAGAAAGCTGAATAGATCATTGGGCTCAATGGTTAGTAAGTAACAGCTTGATGTCTAGTTTTCAGCCAGTATCAAACAGTATGCACTAAGGGACAATTCTGGGACTGGTTTTGTTCAACATCTTCATTAATGCTCTGGGTGATGGGATGGATTACGCTTTCAGCAAGTTTGAAGATGACACTAAGGGGGAGGGGTAGATAGGCGGGAGAGTAGGGATAGAATCCAGAGTGACTAGACAAATTGGAGAATTAGGCTAAAATAATTCTGATTAAGTTCAACAAGGACAAGTGCAGAGTCTTGATAGGAGAATTCCATGCACTGGTATAGGCTGGGGACCGACTGGCTAAGTGGCAGTTCTGCAGAAAAGGACCTGGGGGCTACAGGGGACAAGAAACTGGATGTGAGTCAGTTGTGTACCCTTGTTGCCAAGAAGGCTTAATGGCATATTGGGCTGCATTAGTAAGAACATTGCCAGCAGATAGAGGGACGTGATTGTGCCCCTCTGTTAGGCACTGGCGAGGCCACCTCTCGAGTACTGTGTCCAGTTCCCAACGGAAAGGATGTGGACAAATTGGAGAGTCCAATGGAGGGCTATGAAAATGACCAGGGAGCTGGAGCACATGACTTATGAGGGGAGGCTGAGGGATTTGGGCTTATTTAGTCTGCAGAAGAGAAGAGCGAGGAGGGATTTGACAGCAGCCTTCAAATCCCTGAAGGGTGGTTCCAGAGAGGCTGTTCTCAGTGGTGGCAGACGACAGAATGAGGAGCAATGGTCTCAAGTTGCAATGGGGGAGGTCTAGGTTGGATATTAGGAAAAGCTATTTCACTAGGTAGGTGGCGAAACACTGGGATGGGTTCCCTAGAGAACTGATGGACTCTTTACCCTTAGAGGTGTTTAAGTCCCAGCTTGACAAAGCCCTGGCTGGGATGATTGCGTTGGGATTGATCCTGCTTTTAGCAGGGGGTTGGACTCGATCTCCCGAGGTCTCTTCCAGTCCTAATCTTCTGAGAGTCTTTGAGTGGCATACCCTGACTGTCTCTGGGTGTGTCTAGACTATAGGGCTTTTTCAAAAATGTGGCCTTTTTCAAAACAACTTCCCCTGTGTTTAGACTGCTGCTGCATTCTTTCGAAAGTAAATCGAAAGAATGTGGCAGTTTTTTTGACCACGGAAAACCTCGTTTTACGAGGAAGAATGCCTTTTTTTGAAAGTGCTTTTTCGAAAAAAGGCGCTATGTAATGCAAACCGTGCTTTTTCGAAAGAGAGCATCCCAGACTGCCTGGGTGCTCTCTTTGAAAAAGCATCTTGCTTTTTCAAACGTACTGGTTGTAGTCTAGACGCTCTTTCGAAAGAGGCTTGCAGTCTAGATGTAGCCTCTGAGTCAGACATCAGGTCCAGTGCTTGCCAGTGGCAGCTGGCAGCAGAAGAAGGAGCAGCTAGCAAGGCTGGGTGCTGTCTACAGGACCCGTTATGCAGGTTTAAGGAATAAGCAAACCAAATATGTGCCTCAGGCCTAAATTCATGGGGCGGGGGACAAAGTGAACTCCCTGAGCATGTGGTCACAAATTCAGATTCAGCCTGCCCAGCCTCCCTCCTCTGTCCCCCATCCTGACAGAGTGGTGACCATGCCAAACCTGAGTGGTGCTGCGACCCACATGCCAGGTGCCTGGGGCTCATTGGTGGGTTAATCCAGCCTCGGTTGCCTGCTTTGTCAGTGAGGATCCCCCATGTC